GGTCCACACGCCGTCGCCCAGCCCATGTCGTCCACTAGTGGCGCCCAGCACGGCTCCAAGAGCGCCCCGAGAGGCGCCGAATCAGTTGCACCCTCATGCAAATAGTTTTTTGTCACTTGTGGGGGTCCTCTTGGGGCCCTCTTGGAGCATTCTTGGGACCCTCTGGGAGCGTTCTTCGCCTTCCCGGGGCCCCAGTGGGGCCCCCGGAGGCCCCAATGACGTTCCCCGTGGGCCCCAAGATGGACCCCCCAAAGTGGTACAAAGAATTCGCGCGAACGTGCAATCTGTTGTAGGCCTTCTGGGGCCCTCTGGGAGCTCTCTTGGGGCCCCCTTGGTGGCGCCTTGGGGCCTTGGGATGGCTCCAAGAGGCTTCGGGATTACCCCAGACCGCCACAAGACAGCTCCGAGACGGCCGCCGAGCACCACGGGTGAAAGCAAGTGAAGCTAGGGAACAGGGCCTCTGGTAAGCCGCCACTGCGCCCCCTGGACTACCCAGACAGCGAGGGGACCTGAAACGCCCTGGGGCTCCAGGGGCCCCAGATTAGTGAAGTGAAGGTTTTTGCCATGCCAAGCACCCCGAAATTCTTCACTTCACTAAACCGGACCCAGGACGAACTCGCTACGCTCCAGTCCCGCGGGAGATCCGAGACTCCCGCCGCCGCCCGGGGACGCTGCTGCATTGCGGTGCTCTGGTCACTGTTAATGGCTTCCGCGGGCTGCAGCGGCTCACTTCCATGACTACCCCGACTCACGAATCCAGTGGTTGGTCTGGCTCTATGGGTTGGTTTCGGTGTGTCGGTTGATTTTATGTTTGGTTGGCGGTCGGTGGATTTCGCGTTGTTCATTGGTGTCGTGAAGTGATTTGTCGTTTGGTTGGTCAGTGCCGTTTTGTTGATTCGTGCCGTTTTGTTGGTTGGTGTCGTTTCGTTGGTTGGTGTCGTTTTGTTGTTTGGTGTCGTTTTGTTGCTTGGTGTCCTTTTGTTGGCCGGTGTCGATTTGTTGGTTTGTTGGTTGGTGTCGGTTTGTTGGTTGGTGTCGTTTTGTTGCTTGGCGTCGTCCTGGCGGCGTGGCCGATAATCGGCGGCCTGCAATGGCGCCAGGATTTGTTTCGGGCCAGCCTTGATCGCCCTCATCATTCTCATATTCGTCAGCGTCAGCACTCGTCGCCCCCATCCGCGCACACATGCGGCCGTGGCACGGCTCTCGCGCGGCCCTGCGAAGGCCCTCACTGTGCCCCCCAAAGCTTTCTGAGGGGCCCCCCAGAGCCCCAAGAGGGCACTGGAAATTGTCGCTTCCAACTCCGCCAGGCGGAGGTCAACAAGGGTCTCACTGGTGCACTTCCAGGAATCGTCGTTCGATCCTCTTGGGGCCCTCCTCGGGCCTTCTGGAGCCGTCTTGGAAGCTCCGAGCGGCTCCATGAAGGCGCCGGGCGATATCGCTTCCAATTCCGCCAGGTGGAGTTAGACCAGGGGCTCATTGAGGCCCCTTTTTGCGCCCTCCTCTGCCTTTGAAAACGCCCCAATGGAGTTCTTCAGTGCCGTCTTAGGGCCCCTAAGAGGCCTCCAGTAGGGTATTGAAGTTATCGCTTCCAACTCCGCCACGCGGAGTTGAACCCAGGGCGGCTCTCTGTGGCCCTTTCGGGGCCTTCTTAGAGCTTTTCTGAGGCCCTAAGTGGGCCCTGGGAGGTGTCATTTTCACGGGCGTTGAAAGTGACACCGCGGAGGGCCCTCTTGGGCCCCTCTTGGGGCCTCTCTTGGGTCCCTCTGGGAGCCCTCTTGGTGCCGCCCTGGGGCCTTTTCGGGGCCTTCTTGGAGCCTTTTCTGGTACTCTTTCAGTGGGCCCTGGGAGGTGTCACTTTCACGGGCGCTGAAAGTGACACCTCGAAGGGCCCGCTTTCCCTCGTAGCGCTGCCCGTGGCCGGGGCATTGTGCAGCGCATCCCTCGTCGAACGCATTTTGTCGGACGCGTGGTCGAATTCCGCCATTTCGGTCGAGATGGTGGTCAAGCGGTTCGGTTGCAATGTAGCCGTGCGGATCTGAGCTTACCATGTCTTGCCATTTTGGCGGGGGCTCGCAGGAGCGTTTGTGTTGTGATCAACTGTGCTCGATATATCCAGCGGCAGCGTTTCATCCCAAAATATTATTTTGAAAAGTCAGCAGGGGCCAAATTGGTGATGCGAAGCAACATAGGTCTCGTATTCGATGACCTGAAGGGCGCCGTCTACTCGTTCAGGCTGCCGGACGAGCGGGCGCCCGTATTCGCATTCGACTTCGCCTTCGCCTCGAGGGGCCTGGGTCTCGAGGGCCGCTGGCCCAGCCGAGTCTACCATGGCGCGGTGACGATGCCTATGGGCTATAAGAACGCGATGGGATTGGTCACGCATGCGCCACAGGATGCCCATCGAAGGGGGGGCTGGACCTCGAGGGCCCCCCAGGAGCCTCGAGATCAGGAAGGCTAGGGCTGCCCCCCCATGGCGGCGACCTCGGCCGCCCGGCGCAGCCTGTGGCAGATCTACTGCGTCGACGCCGACTACGCCGAGAAGGTTAGCAGGCTGGTCGAAGCCGGCTTTCCCGAGTACGCGGAGATGGCCAGGCGTTCTTACCCGGGAAGAGCCGCGCCGCTCCAGCTCCAAGAGCCGCGCGAGGGAGCACCGGCGCCGACGGCGCGCTCATCGACGGGCAGGGCGGCTGCATCAGGGCGCCTTTTGAGCGGGCGGCGTCGCTTGCCCAGCTCACGGGCCATCTTGTCTCCAGGGGGCCGAGCTTGAAGGAGGTCCAGATCGTGCTCGGCCACTGGGTGCACGTTCTCGACTTCCGCAAGGAGTGCGCCTGCACATTCACAAAGGCGGGGTCATTGCCGCGGGGATGGGGCCCGCGGCGTAGGGGGCGCCTGCCCGATGAGGTGCGCGCTGAGTTTTTCCATGCGATTTCGTTACTTCCGTTGCGTGCGCGCGACCTGAGGAGGCTGGTGGACAAAACCATCGCGCGCAATGGCGCGTCCGAGCGAGGGGGGGGAGGAGCCTGCTACACCAGTGAGCTGCAGCTGTGGGCGGTGAACGATATCGCCTTTGAGCTAGCGCGCGGCCAGGCAGCGGGCCGCGACCTCGCGGGGCTCTTCGAGCTGTTCGCGGGCGCTGGCGGGGCCCGCATGGCCCGGGAGCGCCTGGGCGTCGACGTTGCGCTCCGCGCAGCCGCCGATGTCGATGAAGTCACCTGTCGGACATGCCGGGCGCGCTGGCCCGATGGTGTCGAGATGGGCGCGGTCGAGGAGATCACAGGGGGGTCGTCCGTCAGGCCGTGTCGCGCGCGCCCCGCGTCAGAATTTCCATTGTCGTGGGAGGTTCGCCGAGCCAGGGTGCCTCGATCGCGAGCAGATACGGGCGCGGCCGGCTGGGGTGACCCCAGGACGCAGCTGGCCTGTCACGTCGCGAAGGTGGCCGACTTGGCACAGAGGGTCAGCCGCGGGGCGGCAGTCCATCGCCTCGCGGAGAGCGCGGCCTGCAAGGCCCCGAGACTCAGGGGGATGTTCTCGAACGTCATGAAGACTGCGCCCGTGCAGCTCCGCGCACGCGGCTGCTCTCCGGCGCGGAGGCCGAGGCTTTATTGGATGAGCTGGCCGCTCAGCCCCGCCCCAGGTCTTGCCTGGAGTGCCCAACAAGGCGTCATCAAGGCTGAACTCCACGGCGACTGCCCCGCCTGGGCTTCGAGGCCGGGGCGAGGGGCCAGGCGTCCACGGGAAGAAGATGGCCCTTGGGCGACGCGACGCTCGTGCGACCCACCCCCCGTGAGAGGCCGCCGACGTCGCCGGTGGGTCCCGAGTCAACCCCGCCAGTGGCGCGGGCCCGCTGGGGGGCTGATGGGCACCGCTACCCGCTGTGCCGGTGCAGGACTGGGGACATGGTGGAGGCTGAAGGCGGCGGGCTTAGGCCCTTAACGAGCTGGGAGCGGAGCGTGAGATTGGGCTTCCCGCGGGAGCACTGCACGCCAGCGCTCGGCAAGAAGGAAGCTAGAAGAGGGGGGGGAAGGAAGCGGAGAAGGATCCAAGGAGAGGACGAACAAGGCAAAGGAGGAGAGGATGCAGGATGTGGGGTGGTCGGGCTGCCAGTGGAGGAGGCCGAGGATGTGCGTTCAGGATTGCTAGGCAGCAGCTTCTCCGCGCCGGCGGTTGGCATGCTGCTCGGGCTCGCCCTTTTCGCCGACGGCATCTTGGAGAGGCCACCTCGCGTGGAGGAGTGCCGGGGCGGTCCCAGCGCGTCGGCCATCGCTCACCTGAGGGGGCCCGCTGGCAAAATCCCGAGGGCGATGTCCGCCGCCGACTGGCGCGCGGACATGCGCGTCGCCATCCAGAAGGGCTCGGACGTGCGCGTCGCCAAGGGCGGGCTGCGAATCCTTCGGGCTGGCCGAGGAGGAGGATCGCTGCCCAGCGTTGGAGCTGGAGGGTTTGCTTCAATTTCCCCCAGGGTGGCGGCAGGCACATTAATGTGCCCGAGATTCAGGCATTGCTGGCCACCGTCAAGTGGAAGCTTCGTCGCCATGCTGCTCTGGGAGGGCGCGCCTGTGCGACTCGCAGGCGCGTATCGCAGTGGCTTGCTCATGCGCCTCAACTCGTTGCTGCCCGCTGCGTCCTGCCACCCGCTCTACGTGTTCGTGCGGTCGGAGTTTAATCCGGCCGACGATCCGAGCAGATGGTGGCGAGGCCAGTTTTGGACGGAAATCGGCGGACGCGGCAGCAGAACAGAGCATCGGCAGGCACAGCGCGATCCTTTGCCCTAGAGCCCCGCGCGCTGAAGAGGCACTGGGCCGCTTTTTTTTTTGTCTTTTAAAAAAAATTGGTTCGAGGCGGACGGGGGGGATCTGCCGACGACATTTGCCGCCGCAGACGAGGTCATGGCCGAATTCCTTTAAGAGTGCTGGGCGCAAGGCGAACCTCGCTCGCGCGTTGCCGGCTCATTGTCAGGGCTGCTGCATTTCGTTCTTCGCTTGCGCCGCAACCTCAACGAGAGTTGGAAGTTCCTCGACGTTTGCAGCAAAAACGAGCTGCCGACGAGGGCGCGCCCTTTGCTTCAAGACCAGGCGTTTGTTATGGCAGGCTTCGCGTTTGCCGACAACGATGTTGCTCTTGCCGCCGGCGCGCTGATCTCGTTCGACGGTGCGTGGAGGCCGCGCGAGGCCATGGTCAAACTATCTCAGTGCACGGTTGACCTCGACCAAGGGACTTGCCACATCGACCTGGGCTTCACGAGTGGCGGCAAGAGGTCTGGAACGCCAGAGTACGTCATCATCGATGAGCTCGAATGCGCATGCCTGCTGGCCAGGTCCATCGCCCGCAGAGCGCCTGGGGATCTACCGTTTCCCCGAGGGGCAGTTGGCTTTCGAAAGGCCTCTAGACGGTTCGTCGAGCGCATAGGCGCCGATCCTTTAAAGCACAAGCCCCATAGCTTGCGCCGAGGAGGAGCAAGCCATCACTGGGGGATGTTGGTCAATCTTGGCGCCACCTGCGCGCGCGGGCGATGGGGGCAACAGACCACAGCCAGGATCTACATCCAGGACGGTGTAGCGATGCTGGGGGGCTCGCCCCCATCCCAGCGCGAGCGCAAGCTCATCGCGCAGGGCAAATCGCACCTGCGACGGCTCTCTCGATTTTCCCTCGGCCTGCCCATGGCCATCAAGAGCACCTTAGTGGCTACCGTGGAGTGGGCTGTGGGGGAGCTGCGCACAGCTCGCGGCCCTGCCCCCCCCCCCCCCCTGCGGCGCAAAGGCGCACCCAGCAGGAGCTGGAGGGGGAGGGGGGGGCCATGAGCCTCGCCGCAGGCTCCCCTTGGCCCACGCGGGCCGCTTGCACACTCACCCGGCGCCCGCAGTCGCGTGCAAAAAGTGCCAGCCTGCGTGGCCACTCGAAGAGGAATGAGGTGATTTGTGTGAAGTACCAGAACGATATGATACTGTACCAGGCGCGCTTGGTAGCATGTCCGATTCAAGTTTGCATCGTTATTTTACGCGCGCGGGCAAGGCCAGAAGGCGCTTACCCATGTACCGGAAGCCGTTGGCATTATACCCAGTGTTACTGGCATTGTACGGGGGAGTCGTTTGGCACGATATATGGCGCCGTTCAGGATAATGTCTGGGAGTTTGGAGCTCGGCAGTGCGAAGGGGCGGGAGGCGCTGCTGTCTGGGGGGCGCTGTTGTCTGAGGCCACGCGACGCAAGCGGCCCTGTTCGTGGGAAGGCGAGCGTTGTCCCCTCTTCTGCCGACGGTGCGGAGCGCTCTCGGGGACCCCCAAGCGCCGGTTTTTCAGCTGCGATGGGAACGTTGGTCCCCGCTCCAGCTTCGACCTCGATGGGCACCTCGCCAACGCGAGGGGGGCTGGCGACGAAGACCCAAGACTCACAGGGGGTCTTTTTGCTAGCCCCGAGGTTCTTTGGCCCTCCCTTGGTCGATGCTGGGTTCAAGCGGAGTGTTTTTACCCCCTCGGGCTTCCTCGACACTGGCAAGATCTGTTCGGGCGGTTCGGCCTTGGACCTTGACAGCGAAGTGTTCGTGAGGGCTGGGTGGGGAGCTGTCGCTGTTGATATTGGTCGGGACGTTGTCGGGCCGCTTTTCGGCCCCCTCCCCCGCCCCCTTCAGCCCTCAGGAGGGGGGGGTATGCCTTCCTCAAGGCCCTGCGGCACATGGGAGCTTGCCCCGCAGAGTTCTGCGCGGATTGCCAGATGGTCTGTGGCGTCGGGGAGAAAGGCCCAGGTCTAGGACCTCGCCAATGTTTGCTACAGCGAGTTGTGGTGTGACAGTTTTGCTAGAGCTGCGAATGTAGGGATGCACAACATCACCCTCTCTAAAGTCAAGAGCCATCTGTCTCGTAGGGCCGCGTTGGACCGTGGGTTTCGGTGCTGGGCGTGGGCTGGAAATCGCGAGGCTGATCGCCTGGCTAAGTTAGTGGCCGCCGTGCATCCCCACAGCCCCCGAGCTAAGCAGTTATATGTGCATCAGGCCGAGCTTGTCTCCAACAGCATTTGCGTGATCCACGAGACCATGAAAGCTCCCTCCCGTCTCAACTTCCCAGATGTCGAGAAGGTTCGGTCCAGGGTTAGACAACGCCCTGGAGGTCTCGAATTGGTGCCCGATGCGCTCGGCCACCAGCTAGTCCGTTATAAGCTTCCAGGGGGCAGATTCAAATACCAGCGCGTTCGATGCGGGGAGCTAGGATCTCGCGCAGGCGTTTGTAAGGTTCCGTGCTCTGGGCTGCCTAATGTGGCCCGCCTCGCCCACCCCTCCCACCAGATTTTCATCGGAGGGGGCCGTGTGGCGTGGTGCTCGAGGTGCGGGGCTTTCGGGAGCCGTAGGTCTCAATACCTCTCCGACAGGTGTATTAATCACCCACGTAATAAGGGCGCTGCTCGGAGCTTGGAGATGCTTCGAGAAGGCGTTGACCCGTCCACCAAACGGTATTCCGGGTGTAGTTTCGGTTTCAGGCGGCTTGGTTAGTGTCCTGTTGGCCGACGTGCTGCTAGGAGGCCAGCTGCACTGCCCAGGACCAGCCGCCCCCCCCCCCCCCGCGTATTGGCTGGGTGTTCGCGTTTCGGCGTCGCGGATCCCGTCATCTCTGGAGAATTCGGAGAATCAAGATCGGTGGGCATGCGGCTCGTTTGCTGGCGGACGAGGTCATGGTCACGCTCCCCGCGAGCAAGCCGGTATTGTTTGGTTCTCATTTGGCATCGAGGGTGGTCAAGAGTGAGGTACGTCGCCTCAAAGCTTCCGCCTCCCTGGTTCAAAAGTGATGATGCGCCGTGGCTTGCTGTAGGCCCACCCAAACTTGTTCCTACTTTTTTGTGCCTGAAACTTGATTTGGTACGAGCATTCCTAGCTGACGCCCTGCTGCTGCAAAACACAGCAGCATGTCCCATGTTTGTTTTGCGATTCACCGCATCCGTTTGCCCTGCGAACATCTCACGATAGGTCTAGGTATACCTGGGCGGCCGGGCCCTGCTCAATCCTCGCCTTCCCACTTCGTTCTCCTCCTCAGTTCCTCTTCGTCCGTCGCCCTCCGTCAGTCTCCGCTTCCCCCCCCTCTGTCCCCCTCTGTCCCCCTGCTCCCGAACACCCGCCTTTGGGAGGCCCCCAGGATGCGGGGGCACTTTTCACGGTGGCAACACTGTCAGGCCCGTGTGGGGCTTGCAGGGGCGCTGAGGCCCTGGAGAGGGGAGGACATGAGGAGCAATATAGTCGGATTTGCATAGCTTCTTGCGCTCCCATGGGCGACGAGGCTGTCTTGGAGATATGTCCTGGCAGGGTGTACTGCCTGGGCTCCAGGACTAGCGGGATTTAGAATTATAAGAGTGGGGAGGAGAAGTGCAGAGCGTGTTGGAGAAGGGCAAGCGAGGAATTCACGAAGAAGCAGACACATCATCCAGAAAAGAGTGCATGTTGTTTTGCCATTTTCTTAGATGGAGCAAGCATGGGAGGAGGGGACGACAAATCAAGGGAGCTATAGGAGGAGAGCTAGGGGTGATGCGGCACTGCCGAGCATTCTGACGTGCTGCGCGGTTGATGGGTGGCTCGCTCATGCGAACCCGATGCAAGCCGCAAGGCGGCAAACCGGTGGATTCTTCACTGGCGCACAGTGTGCTGCTCGACCTCCCCTCCCAGGATCGGGGGAGCGTAAGACCCGGGTTTGCCGGGACTCGGGTTCGCCATCATTTTTTGACGACCGCGACTCGGATTTTGACGAGGAGGAGTTTTGTGGGACGTCTGCAGCGGGAGGCCTCGTCAAAATGCAGGCTCGGCCTCGTCATTTGTTTGACGACCTCGTCGGGGATTTCCGAGTCCCCCGTACCCGGGTCTTACGTCTCCCCGACAGGACCTGACGCCCTTCCAGGGCGCGTGGCAGGCGGGCCTCGAGGGCCGCGACGGCCGGGGCTCCGCCGCCGGCAGGGGGCGCGCGGCGGGCGCGCAGAGGACCACCGCCATCGTCGGGGACGGCGTCGCTGCAGTCACCGTCGCTCGGGGGTGATTTCTCGCTTCTCAGGAGCGACAAAAGGACGTACACGTACATGAATCCACGCTGGTTTCGAGAGTACGCATTGCGCAAATGTTTGTATAACGCGGCCGGTCTCGCGGATCGAGGGGCCGCGTTCAAGTACATAGCTGGGCGCGTACGTCCTTTGTGGGCTCCCTAGCTTCTCGCCCCCAATCGGAGGAGGGCCAGTCGCAACATCGGCGGTCCTCCCTTGCGTTTTCTTGTTCTCCTTGGGCCTCGTTGTCACGGTTGGATCCGCCTGGAACCCGCCTCAAGAGGGACCCCAGGAGGGGTCCAGGGATCGATGTTCAGAGGATTTTGGCCAGGGGGGTGCCGACGTGGTGTGAATTTGCCTTTCTCTCACAATCCCCGGGCTCCCCAAAAAAGCGTTCGCCGTTTGGGGAAGATTGAGACTTGAATATGCACCCCCTGGTGGGATGTTCGGGTCCCCAGATGTGCCTAATTTTGATGGCCTGGCCGAACGGTCCACAACATCAGAAATTGTGGTCGCAAGGTATCCTGTTAGTCGTGACGCGTTGTCGTCGTCGATCGATCAGTCGAGGATCGAGAGAAGCAGACGAGTTGGCTCCTGCTTAGATAGGTCGATTTCCGAGTTGATTCGGCCTCGTCTGATCCGATCGGCCTGGTGCGAGAATTGCCGATCCTGACAGAATCGATCAGACTTTGTTTCGATTGATACCTGAGTCGGGCCTGGTTCGATCGATCTTTCGAGGATCAGGGGCTGTTAGTCTCTTTGGGGACACTTTCGTGGGGCCTCCAGGGGCCTCTGGAGACTGGGAGATTCTGGAGACCTCTGTCGGCGGCGGGCGACGTCGTTCCCCTCCGTCGCCGCCGTCGCCGACTTCGCTGCCGCCACCGTCGACCTCGCCGTCGCTTTCGCCCCGACGCCTTCAGTATTTTTGTTGATTTATGTGGGGAGGGGGGGGGGCGGCTCTGCGCTGATATTCGGACGGTTTCGCCAGGTTCTAGTGATTTCTGGAGGTGATGCGTGCTGAGTCTGCGACCACGTGCGAACCCGACCCCTGCGGGTCCAATCGACGCTGGGGTATCGGGCACCCATGCAGGAGTTCATTTTGCTGAAGGCGTGCTTCGAACTCGAAACTTCCGCTGGTGTTTTAGGAATCCGACCTGCAGGGGTGGGGTTCACACGTGGCTGCCACGCCCCATGGGCGGGGCGGGCTCCTCCCCTCGCTTCCCGAACGTCCTACTCAACGGCAGGGTCGCGCCGCCCCGCCGCGGCGCCAGCGCGAGCGTTTTTGGCTAAGCGGCATCGGGAGGCCTGCACGGAAGATGACCCACAGCGTGGAATCCATGGAGAATCGGGGGCGTTCAAGAGCGGGGTGATGATCAGTTGTTTGTGTGTGTGCGTGTAAGTGTAAGTGTAAGTGTGCGTGTGCGTGTGCGTGTGCGTGTGCGTGTGCGTTTGTGTGTGTGCGTGTGTGTACGTGTGTGCGTCTGTGCGTGTGTGCGTGTGTGTGTGTGTGGATCTCATGGCCAGGGCCACGTGTGTGTGGACCTCCTTGTTCCAATACGTTGCCTGCCCCCCCTCGTCCGTGCACAGGACTCCGGCCATGATGCATGTGCGACCCCCCCCTTCCTGACCCCCCCTTCGGCACACCCGAGAGAAGGTGGGGTCGAGTCTCTGGGGGTGTCCGAGACCGGAGATTGATCAAGTTGGAACGGTTCACGCGGTGTCAGGGCCGACGTCGTCGAGGCACGAGTCTATTGCAAGAGCCAGCGCGGGTGCAACCAAAAAACATGCGCATGGTTTGGTCAACGCCTGCCCTCGCCCCTCTCGCCTCCCGAGGGGAAGGAGGGGGGACGAGGGGGCGCCCCCGTCCTCCCTTCCCCAGTCCCCCCCTCCACCTGTTTCCTCGCGCTCCACCTTTGCTTCCCTTCCTCTCCTCCTCCTTCCCCCTTTTGCCACTCCCGTTCCCGGAGAGCGTTTTATTATTCCCGGGCGATACCGGGCGTGACTGGAGGGGGGGAGGGAGGCGGGGGGCTGGTAGCGTCAAGATTCGAGCCAGCGTTGTCTGGGAGTGCCCAGGAATAGCTAAAGACACGTCGGAGATCCGCGCGAATGCGCGAATCCTGAACCGTTACCGGGGGCGGCTGGAGGTGAGTAAAGAAGTGTGTTTTGTCCTTTGAAAAAGTGCACGGCCAGACGGAGGGGGAGGAAGAGGAGCGGGAGGGAGATGAGGAGGATGAAAGAGGGGAGGATGGTGGGGGGAGGTGGACGGAGAAGGAGGAATGGATGGATTGATGGACGGAGGAGGAAGAGGAAGAGGAGCTCCTCCTGCTGGTACTGCTCCTGCCCGCGTGATTTGGCCAGCGGAGGGTCTCGTGTTCTTGAGGGAGGTTTTTCTGTCTTAGGTTCGACTGTAGCGCAGGGGTTGAGTGTGCCAGCTGCTGCCGCAGGGCGCCCCAGGGTCGTTGCGGCGCAGGAGTTGCTATACGTGTTGGAAGATATGGTCAGTGATTCACCAGGAAGTTCATACAACACCAGGAAGGTAGGAGGATGAGGAGGTGAAAGAAAGGTGAGTACGTTCCTGAGGAGGGCACTCTGTGACTGCACGCCGCTGCCTGTCGGTGCATCCCGAGGCGGAAGAGGAAGAGGCGGAGGAATGCGGATGAAGCTCCCCCTCCACCATCCTCTCCCGCCTCCCCTCCCACTGCCCACCGCGCGCTTCCGAGCACAACCGAGCCCAGTGCCACCCCCCACAGGGAGTTGGCATTCCATTCGGCGATCGAGCTCCATCCTTACCTCCGCTGATGCCTCCCACCTCGCGTCGGCGACAGGGGGAATAGGGCACGGGGATTAAACGCGCATGTTCTCCAGAGGCCCATCTCGCCAGCCCGTCGGAGAGCTGAGGGCACGAGCGGCGGCACTGACACGATGCCGATCACGCATTCGTCGTGGCACCCGCGCCCTCAGGAGCGCGGCGGGTGGCGCAGACGGCGCTGGTGCTGCGCCCTCGGGAGCGCTGTGGGGGGCAGCGAATCGGATCTGCCTCCTCGGGCCGAGGGCACCTGCTTCTCCTCGCTGTTAGGGCCGGTGCCGGGGCACGCAGGTTGACAACGACGCCGACGACGCCGACGACGATGATGCCGACGCCCGCGAGGACCAGTGCCAGGGCATGCAGGGCCCCAGGTCCCGCCTGCTAGGATTGCGGGGGCCCCGTGTGGTATTGTGTCGGGGGCGGGGCGGCGGCCACGCGCGCCTCGATCGGGGTGGCCCGGCCCTCTTCGGGAGCCTTCGCAGGAGTACGCGCATGCGTTTTGTCCCCACGGCGTGTAAAAGGGCGTCACCGGGGGGGGTGGGGAGGGGTCGGTGACGGAGCGTTTTGCGCCCCGCGGGAGTGCGGGAACGATCCGGAAAAGCTTAGATTGCGAGGGTTCCCAGACACCGCCTGCGCCGAACAGTACGTGCCCATAGGGCCCACGGGGGGGGGGGAAAGGGGGGCGGCGGGCCCGCGGACGGCCCTCGCGCCAAGAAGTAAGACACGCCTTCGCAGCGAGCCTGGGTGGCGGCGGTCTGTGACCGATCTTGTGGACGAAAACTATCACCCGATGATTGTTTCAGAGCGTGCACAGCGCGCCCTCATCCCTCGGGCGTGTATTGCTGAGCGGGCCTATTTGTTGTTACTCGTCGACGGGTCTCGGCTGGCCCTCCTCCGGCCCCTGGACTTCAGGGGGCACCCCGCGGCCTCCAGAGCGCGCCCTCGGGGGGCCGAGGGGGGGGGGCTCCAGGGTGGAGCGAGAAGCTGGGGCAGTGGGATCTACGTCGGCCAGCCCGATCCGACCCGTTCCCGATACTCCGACGCCCCGACGCGGCCCGATGCTTTGCATAGCGATGAAGTGTATCCTGGCGCTGCCGATCATCTTCGATTTCGACTCCCGGAGCCTCGGAAGCCGACACCAGCGCCGAGAGAGACCCCGTGGGTCAGTATCGTTCCACCATGGAAGGACTCGTGCTTCTCGGTGGCGATGCCGACCTTCTGCCTTACTAGATTCCGTGCCGATGGTGTGCGATCCCAAGTTCGGACGGGGCTAGGACGAGGATTAATCCATTACAGAGTGTTCCAGAACGCTCTCAGAGCGTTTCGGAACGCTCTGAAAAGGCCGTGGCACCCGATAACATCTTACAGAACCACTGGATCTCATAGATTCTCGATCTATCTTCACCCGATTTTGTCCTCGTCCTGGCTTTGTCTTAGAGGCACACTCCGATCCGCTCCGACTCGCCGATGCGATGTTGCCGGGCCCGATCTCGCCCCCACCTCTGTGGGCGCTGGGTGCGCTGCTTCTTTTTGTTCCTCGCCCCAGCAGGCGCGGCGCCGCGCGCCGCCGGGCGCGGCCGCGGCGGCGCCGGGCGCCGCCACCCCCTCCGCCCCACGACGACGACGACGACGACGACCGACAACCGACGACCGACGACGACGACACCGACGACGACGCCAACGACGACCGACGACGGCGACGACGGCCACGACGACGACGACGACGACGACGACGACGACGACGACGACGACGACGACGACGACGACGACGACGACGACCGACGACGACCACGACGACGACGACAACGACTGCCCCCGGGGCACGCGCCCGCGGCGCGCCTGTCAGATTCTCTGCAATCAGGACTTCTCGGGAGGGAGAGAGAGTCGTACCGAAGTATAAGGTCGAGGTCAGTTCGGGGAGGGTGCCCTTCTTCGTGTTTGTTGGATGCTCTTGTGCATCCTGGGGAGGGTTCCTTCGGATGTTCTGTGCGTTTTGGCCGGCGGAGGGTCTCATGTTCTTGAAGGAAGTCATGCTGCTCTAGGCCCACGGCTGCAGTCTTCGTGGGCGTGCTCACGCTTTGGTCTGTGGAGTTCCCTCTGTTCACGGGGCCCACGGGGCCCACGGGGCCCTGAGCGCGGGCGTTCGGATGACGGCTAGCATCAGCCAGCACACCCAGGCCAGCCACAACTGGGGGAGCTGTGGTCCTTACCCTCCTGGGGGACACATCGATTTCGACACCCCTATCGAGATATCGTCGATGCGATGGGTTCCCCCAGGGGGGTAAGGACCACAGCTCCCCCAATTATGGCTGGTCGAACACCTCGAGCCGGAACGGCGGCTAGAAAATGGAGGAACGAGGAGGAGGTGGAGGGGAAGGGAAGAAGTAGGGAGGGCCCCAAGAGGCTCCCCAGCACAGCTGAAGAGAGCCTCTAGAAAAAATCGAAGCGCGGCGTCAAGACAGCTCAAGAGAGACCCAGAAGGGCCCAAAGACGCCAAAAGGCGGCTCAAGATGGCCCAAGGGGCCCCTGAGCCCCCCGAAAGGTCCCACGACGACCTAAAAGGTTCTCAAGATATACCCAAACGGCATCTGAGGGTTCCGAAACGGTTGAGAAGGCTCCGAGGTTGCCAAACAGGCCTTATCTTGGTGGGCATCAGTGCAACAGGAGGCTTGGCAGAACGCAAGAGAGTCCCCGACGCCTTGGAACGCAAAAGGGCACAAGTGGCAGCAAGCAGCAGCATACAGTAGCATACAGCAATATACAACATACATCAGCACGCTCCAGCAGCAAGCAGCCGCAAGCAACTCCAACATCAGCTTCCCGTTGTGCCCCAAACAGTTCTCTAAATGTTGTCTTTGTGTTTTCAGGAGGCGACCAAAACAGCCCAAGGAACACCAAGAGGTTTCCAAGACGGCTCACAAGTGCCTGATGAGGCTCTAAGGATGGCCGCAAAGGCTTTCACAAGACGATCCAAGCGGGACGTCAAGATGCCCAAGAGAGGCCCCACGGAAGGTAGCTAAACTTATCCAATAACGAATGGTGGTTCAATGTGTTATTGAATCGCTTCGCTCATTCCGCCGGCCCATACGGTCTCATGTCTGCCGTTTGCCCGAGGGCCTGGTGTCAATGCGGCGCTTTGGGGGTTCCTGGGGCCGCTTGGGGGACTCCTGGGGCGCTCGGGGGGGCATTTGGGGGGCCTCCTGGGGCCGCTTGGGGGACTCTTGGGGGCCTCCTGAGGGCCTCGTGGGGGCCTCTAGGGGCTTCTTAGGGCCGAGGGCGCGAAATTTTGTTTCGTGTTCCCTCTCTGGTGCCCCTTTGGGGGTGTTCTTGGGGCCCTCTTGGACCGTCTTGGAGGCTTCTTGGGCCGTCTTCGGCCATCTTGGGGCCCTCTTGGGGGCCTCTTGGGCCCTCTTGGGGCGATCTTGGGGGCCTCTGGGGTCGCCTTGGGGCGTCGGGAACCGAAAAGGTGGAAGCTCCAAAATCTCTCAAAAACCTAAGGAAAAACAATGAATTTTGCCTCCGGGGGCCCTCTTGGGAGTGCTCTTGGAGGCCTCTTGGGGCGTCTGGGGGCTATCTTGGGCGTCTTGGAGCGATCTTGTGGCATGTCGGACCCCTCGTGTACCATCTTGGGGGCCTCTTGGGGGCCTCTTGGCCTTTCTTGGGGCTCTCGGGGACGTCTCGGAGCCCTGTTGGTGCGCTCATGGAGCGCTCCTGGAGCGCTCTGGGGGACTCTTCCCGGGACTCTCTCAGGACCTTGCCGGGGTACTTTTCGTCCGGGGACCCCCAGGGGCCGCCCCGCGCGCGCGAACTAGAGAATTCTTAACCAGTTACCGGAGATTTTAGCACGCCTCTGGCCCGTTGGGCCGGCGAATTGCTTCTCACGCTGTTCGGATCAAGGCAGCTTCGCGAGCGTGCAAGGGAGCTCCAAGACGGCCAGAGATCGGTTGGGAAAGCCACCAAGCCAGGCCGAAATGGTCACAGGAGGGTCGCAATTCACCCCAAGAGGCATTCGTTCGGGAGAGGCTCAAGACGGCCCAGGCGAGCCCCCATATTGCCCAAGTCGTCACTTTGCAAGGCCTCACCAGGGTGTCTCGCCAAACGGCTGCTGCGATGAGTGACGCTTCTGCGGACCCGCCGCCAGGGTATGCTTGGGTGGTGCTCGTCGTTCTCACGATGCTGTCTGGCATGTTCTCTGGCTTAAACCTCGGGTTGATGTCGTTGACCGTGGAGGACCTGAACATCGTTATCAATAGCGGCGAAGACCAGAACGAAGTTGCTTTCGCGAAACAGATTCTGCCACTGCGCAAGCACGGTAACTTGCTTCTCTGTACCCTACTTATCGGCAACACACTCGTGAACGTGATGCTCGCAGTCATCACCGACCCGATCTGGGTTTTTCTTTTCGGAACTGGTACCGTCGGCAGCATATTTGCATTAGCGTTGCCATCTGCTCTTATCGTAGTATTCGGCGAGATTGTACCCCAATCTGTCTGCTCGCGGTACGCGCTCCTCGTTGGCGCCAGGACGTTGCCCATTACTTATATCTTCGTCGCTATCACTTTTGTGCTTGCGTATCCCATTTCAAAGATCCTCGATCGGTTGCTTGGCGATGAGATCGGTGGTGTATACACGCGAAAAGGACTTCTGCAACTCGTCAAGCTGAGTGCGGAGGACCCCAGCCACGCCCACTCAAGCGGCCTTAATCAAGAGGATGCGAAGGTACTTACCGGCGCCCTTACCTTCCAGGACCGCACCGTCAGGCAGGTGATGACGCCCATCTCCCAAGTTTTTTCGCTGCCAAAGGATGCGGTGCTCGACCGGGACACATTCCTCGCCATCCTCCAGAAGGGCCACACGCGCATCCCAGTCTACGACGGCGAGCCGACTAACATCTTCGCCATCCTGAACGTCAAGTTCCTCCTCGGCATTGGCTTCGAGCGGAAGATGACGCTGGCATCGGTGATCCAGGACTTCCGCGCAGAGAATCCCAGGGCGTTCCAGGCGCGGCGTGTAGTGGCGGAGACCAAGTGCGACGTCGCCCTCGGTGAATGCAAGCGAGAACGCGTCCACATCTTGGTCGTCACCGAGACGCGCTCGACGGCTGGGGACAGCGACTGCTCAGATAACACCGGTACGGGCCCTGCCATCGGAATCATGTCCATTGAGGACGTCATCGAGGAGATTCTGCAGGATGAGATCGTGGACGCTACGGACGAGTACGTCGATCATACTCAAAAGCTCAACACAAGGCGTGTTGACGCCACAACCGTGCTGCAGAAGCTCCCGGGCATGAGGTGAGCCTTTCCTCCTCCTCAGCCTCCTCCTCGTCCTCATCATTGTCCTCCTCCCTTGCGAAAGTATTTACAAGCCGCTGGCTCGCTGGGCTGGCCGCAATGCCCACGCGCGGTTACAGAACCGCAAAGCCCACGGGGCGGCGGAGGTGCCCTTCATCGTCTGGTTGGCCTGCGGCGCCATGCCGCCGCTGTGGGCGTAGCAGGCTTCGCGGGGCATGCAGCCTAGGCAGCAGCTTGTCGTCAGGCCTCGTCTGCCTGGCTTTGCGCCGCCATGCCAGGCAGGTTCGAGCACCCCGTTGCTCTCGCAGAGGGTGTGGACGGTAAGGCCCACCGTCTCGTAATAGACGCTGACGAGCTGTCCACCGAGTGGTCGCTATGGCGGCGGCCGCGGCGATGGGGCCCAGGCACCCGCGGCGTGAGCGCAAGCTGCCGCGCACGGGGCCAGAGTTGCACTTCCTTTGCTTCCTCCTCCTCCCCTTCTTCTTTTTCCTTCTCGTTCTCCCCCGTCGTCGTCGATGTCGTCGTATCTGCCACGCTGCGTTACGTTTCACTGCTTCAGCATGTCATGGTAGCATTCCATCATGCCGCCTCCGTCCCGCTCACCTGTCAAGTAGGGCGATTCTTCCATGGACATGGGCACGGGCGACCCCCGCGTCGCAGCATCGGCATTTCAAAACGAGAAAAGAGCACGGCCCAAGATAGCTTCGTCAGTCCCAGGACGCTCTGGACTCCCTAAGTTGAGTCAATAAAAGCTCAGGGAGCATCCAAGAAGCCAACAAGAGGCCGTCAGCACGTTGTTTAAACTTGGCATGTTGGGTAGCAAGAGGCATCCAAGATGGATCAAGACCGAGAGGTTACACAGAGGGTGCAAGACTGCAAGACGGCTACTAAAATCAAAGGCAGGCCCGAGCGGCAGTAATCAGCAGCACACAGCAGGAAGCCATAACAACCAGCAAGACGTAGCAGCCAGCAGCAGAAGGCAACACCAGGTCGCAGAGGCAGCCGCAAACGAGAGCCAACAACAGCAAAAGCGGCAACCGTCTCAGGTAGTAGCGCTTTGCATTGCGCCCGAGATTGGATTCCCAAATAGTTATTGTGATGTCACGACGTAAAGCAAAGGCGTGCCTAGACGGGTCAAACAGTTTCCAAGACGCGAAGATTGCCCAAGAGGCATCGCATAGTTTCCCAGATGCTCGAACAGGCTTCAAGACATTCACGAGAGGCTCCAAGAAGATGCACCATGGGAGGCCCAGAACAGTCTTGGAGTCCGATCAACGTGACTCGAGAGCGGTCTGGAGGGCTGCAAGAGTGCCCACGAGGACCCCGAAAGCGTCTGCTACGACCAATACCGTTCCTGGCCTACACAGCCCCACCATCACCAGAATGCATTACGGCATTATTCGGCGCATCGTCTGGCCACCTACCAGTTGAGCGGTGACTGGATTGGCCGGTGGCGATTGTGCAATTGCTGGTCACCCTGTGCTGCTCCTTGTTGTTTCCAAGATATCTGCTTGCTCCCGGGGCTCGCATTCTCTGGAACGGAATCGGTTTCGACTGTTGCCATTCGCCGTCGCCCGTCCTGGATCCTCTTTGCCATGGCTGTTGCTATTCTCCAAGAGGCTCATGCCATTTCGCTGACCCCCAGATGAGGAGATGCGCTGCCTCCGATGTCGTACATTGCATCATTGCATGCTGTGTGCCGCGTCCCGTCGTGCTGCCTACGTACGGTTGATTCTGGCGTGCTGACGTGCCCCCTTGTTCCTCCGCGTCTGCTGCGGGGCTTCTTGAAGGCCTCTTCAAGGTCTCGTGGGCGGCCTAGCAGAAGCCTTTTCAGGGCTCCCGTATGTGTCTTCTTGGCCCCTCTTCGGACGTCTTTCAGGCCTCCTGGATCATCTTGAGGCAAAATTGGATGCTCTGGAGGCCTATCTATTGGGCGCGTTGGAGCCCTTCTTGAGGCATCTCGGAGAGCATATTTGGCACACCGTGGAGACCGCGGTGGGTGGATTTGGAGGCTCCGAGGGCCAGGGAGGTGCGCCAGGGAGCTCGTGCCCCCCCCCCCCTTCCCACCTGCACTCACCCACCCACCCCAAGCGGGGGGGGTCGACGGATTGGTCTCTTGTCCTGGGTCCCGCTTGCTCTGGGTGTTGTCTTCGCCGATCCCAGGTTCCCGCTTGCCCTGGTTGTTGCGATTCGCCGTCGCTGGTCCTGGGTCACGCTTGCCCTTGCTGTTGCGGTTCGCTGTCGCTGATCCCAGGCCCAGCTCGCCTTGGCGATTGTGATTGGTTGCCGCCTCCGATTGCCTTGGTGTTCTGACTCACCGTCGCCGGTCCCGCCACAAAGTTTGCCCATCGTGAGAAATAGCAGTTCTTGTTTCGCCTATCCTACTTACGGGGTTCTCGTTGTCAGCGTCACGTCTCCTCACCCGCCTCATTCCTCTCCCACTCAGGATCAGTCTCACTCATAGTCAGACTCACAGGTATCCAGACCAAGCCTCTCTCTCCGACACACTCGTACTTAGATTCAAACATACTCAGACCATGTTCACTCAGATGCACGCATGCTCAGCCCAGTCGTACTAAGACTGATGCACAGTCCACTTACGCTCACAGCATTCACGCTCAGACTGACTGAGACTCAGACTCACACTCTCACCCACTCATACTCAGAAGCCCCATGAAATATTCCAAATTCCTACTCGGACTTCCAAGGCCACCGCGATGTGGCATGCATGGCGCTTGAGCCGTCCAAGGGGGTGCCATCCAGCGTTGTTCAACAGGACCGTTCGCGCCAAAACTGCGGGGACGCATCGAGTGGAACGACCGTTTGTGGTTGTGGGTGCGTCTCGTTTCGGAGCCCATGGTCACCGCGGTGTCGCTGGCATGGCATTTGGGCCTCCCAAGGGGGGCCCGAGAACGGGCGTTCCACGGGCCAGTTCGCGCCCAGGTTGTGAGGACGTCCTGGTGAGAATTGCCAGTTGCGGTTGTAGGCGCGTTCCGTTTCACAGCCCCATCACCGCGATGCAACAGGCATGAAACGTGGGCGACCCCGGTGGGGCCAATTAGAGGTGTTCGACGGGCCCGTTCGCGCCCACGTTGCAGACGCCTTGAGTAAGTAGCTTTGCCGATTGTGGCTGTGGGCGCGCATCTCTGCAGAGCCCCATGACCACCGCGGTGTACAAGGCACGGCAATCGAGCGTCCCAAAGCGGTGCCGACCAGGGGCGTGCCACGGGCCCGTCCTCGCCAAGATTCTGAGGAAGTCTCGGGTAGAATCGCTTATGGTTGTGGGCGCGTATCTTTTCAGAGTCCCATCATCGGCGATGTAGCAGGCATGGCAGCATGGGAGTCGACCAGGGGTGTTCCACGGGCACGTTCGCGTCTAGATTTGAGCGCGCTCTCGGGTAGACCGCCTGTTGACACCCCAGATTTCTCCCCTTTCAGAGCCCGCTGATGATCGCGATGTAGCAAGCATAATGAGCACTTGGGCACCCCAAGGTGGAATCGACCAGGGGTGTTCCACGGCCCGTTCGCGCACAGATGTGTGCTCGCTCTCAGGTAGAACGCCTGTTTTGGCGCCGGGGACTCCTCTCGCTCCAGAGCCCTTAGATAATCGCGATTTAGCAGGTGGAGCTTTTGACCACCCCCATGGCCAAGGGGTAGTCGACCAGGGGTGGTCCGGGCCCGTTCGCGTCCAGAATTGTGTTCGCCCTCAGGTCGACCATCCGGTTTGGCCCGTCGACCTTGATACGGCAGGCATGCCCTTTGGGCACTCCACGGGGCAGCCGTCAGGGATTGAGCAGGGCCGCCTGCGATCGGATTCAATGCGATTCGATTCGCGATCTGGGCCAGCGATTCCGATTCGAGTCGATTTGGGCGCCAGGCGGAGCTGGGCGAGGGGATCCGTTGGCGATCCGATCCCTTCCCGATCCGATCCGATCTGGCGATTCGATATGGCTCAGGCTTGGTAGGGTGCTTGCCCGTTCGCGCCCAGATCGCTCGAGTAGGAAATCTAGTACAGAATTGATGTGCCCCCAATGTTACTCGAAACCATTCGAGATTCATATAGTGGTCGTAGATCTAACTATACGAAAAATTCGATGCATGATTTGACGAGAGGGTCGATCTTGGGGTAGATCAATTCTGTAGTCGATCGCCTACTCGAATCGTGGGGGCGCCTCGTCCGCCCCCCCCAGATCGTGGGGGCGTCTCGACCGCCCCCCCTCCCTGGCAAGAGGAGCGGCGCCGCGCGTGGGAAGCCAGCCGTTATCTCGCGGTTCGACCTGGCTCAGGCCTGGCAGGACCCCTGCCCGTTCGCGCCCAGATCGTGGGGACGCCTCGTCCGCCCTCCCTGGCAGGAGGAGCGGCGCCGCGCGTGGGAGGCCGGCCGCCTGGCAGGACGCTGGCCCGTTCGCGCCCCGATCGGGGGGACGTCGCGTCTGCCCCGCGCCTCCCCTGGCAGGAGGAGCGGCGCCGCGCGCGGGAGGCCCGCCGCCGCCGGCGCCAGCGGCTGGACGGACAGGCGTCGGGCCCCCCCCCCTCCCTTGGCTCGACAAGGAGGACAAGGAGGAGGGGGAGGAGGAGGAGGAGGAGGAGGAGGAGGAGGAGGAGGAGGAGGGGGAGGAGGAGGAGGAGGAGGAGGAGGCGGAGGAGGAGGAGGCGGAGGAGGAGGAATTGGAGGAGGAGGAGGCTTTTTTTGACTGAACTAGGCTCGTTGCAAGTTAGCTTGAGCGCAGCAGGAGGAGGAGGAGGAAGGAGGGGGAGGAACGCACACGCGTTACTAAAGTAGACTAACCGCATGCCGATGATAATAAAGGGACCCCCCCCCTTCAGTGTTTAGAGTTGATTATCGTCGCCCTATACAAAATTCAAATTGGGCGGCGAGCGCTGAGGCCGAACATCATTATCACCTCGAAACGCTATGTTGAGATAGCAACATCAAGCGATGTTGCTATCCCCGCGCGCGCCTGAACTTTTTTTTATCTCTGGGGTTGATTATCCATGGAAAGGGGAGCACATGAGCTATCCTACACGAGCACTTAAAACAATCAATTTTCATAAAGCGCTTGTACATAACATCTAATAGATTTGAAACTCGAGATTTGTTCTTCTCTTCGTCCTTCTCCTCCTCCTATCATTTCTTTTATTTTGTTCTTTATTATTTTTATTTTTCTTTTTTATATATAGCTTCCTCCATTCCAGCGAGATAAGCCATTGTTGATGATATTTCTATGAAAACTAAACGCCAAGGATGTCTCAAAACGTGCTCGGCTTGGTCTCCTCTTGATCATCTCTTACTTCGAGATTATGCTGAGGTCTGCTGGGCTACTTTTATTATCTCTCCCTGAACCCCGAACTTTATTATCCCCTAGTGTTTATTCTCACGGGCATGAGGTTAGGCGTTCTGCATAATACGTTATCACACTTTACGCTTTCCGAGCTTGAGAATCCCAGCCGTACACGGGCGAACACAATGGCTATTTGGATGTGGGTCTCGCTTTGGCGTTGCGCGTTCCATCAGTTACACGTGTGGTGAGCGGGTATTTTTTCAAAGTTGGAATGTTGCCGCTGTGCCGAGCACGCTCATATTGCCATGTTGCACATGTTACACGGATGGAGGGCGTTGCGTCTTCAAAATGTCCGTTGGCTTTTATCAGTCGAAGTTGCCACTTGTGCCACAGTTACCCA